GGCTGCTTTCCTAATATGACCTTTATGGCACCCCCACGTAAGCGAGAGCCTAGCCAGGTACTGTTGTGGCGCGGATTGGAGGGGCGGTCAATCTCGCGCGCATGTTTGTGCATGCTACTCACGCGGTGGACATCATCAAAATTCACGGTTGATCTGTCAGCGTGGAGTTGCCGACTGGTGGATTGAGAATCAGGCTTGGTAGTTCCTTCTTAGTGCTGCTCAGCTGGGGTCCAAGTCACCGTCTGCCCGTATGAAGTCCTAGTTCATTGTGCGCAGACTAGGCGTGTGCAGCATGCGTAAGCGGTCGCTTTAGCTTTCCATTATAAGCGAACATGCGAGTCCCAGGAAGTAATTGAGAAGACGACTCGATCGCTGAGACAATACTTTTATTCGCCTACTCTTCGGCAACACGCTTTTATCAAGGCGCCTGTGCAGAAACCGGATCTGCGAATAGGTAAGAAGAAGACGGCTCGATCGCTGGGACAATACTTTTATCCGCCTAAAGTATTATCCCAGCGATCGCGTCATCTTCTTCCCGCTTTAGCTTTGTCCGTCATGGTGATCGATCCCGCTGCTGGTTTTCTTAACCCTGCCTAGACACTGTTATCCGATGAATGAGGGAGGTGCGACTATGGTATATGCGCTACGCAAGATTACGATCACTATAAACCAATTAATGTGCATGTCACAGCCCTCTGCGCCTGTCATACCGCCGGACGCACGATGCACATCGTTGGTAGCAACGGCCAAACTGGCAAGTAGGCTGCATAACTTGGCGTTTCAGCAGGAACACCTTGCGTTGTTTTTGTTTACTACAGACTTTCACACTTCGTCGGACTCCAAACTGTAAGGCAAAAGGGTATACGAGAGCTGTCAGGGCTATTGACACGCTTAGGTAGTCGGCGGATAAGTTAGAGGTCACACCTACCTGTAATCCGGGCCAGAAGGCTTGCAGAGCGTCCATGAAGTTTCTGGATCTCTCCGACGGTTTGTGCATGTAGACACTGAGGAAGGAGAAGGGGAAGGTGCGACTGTTGAAACCACCCAGGTAACGTTCCACGGCCGAGTAGTGAGTCTGGAAACGATGCAGGTAGACGGGCTCGCCGAGTAGGCCGTAGGCTTTCCACAAGTACTCGTAGTACGAGTCGATACCAGCGCCGACACCGGATTCTATAGGTGAAGTAAGTAGCGAATTAGAAAAAAAGAAACACTGTGATGAGGGGGGGGTGGGGTCAATCAATGTCAGTAATGCCTTGTACTAGGCATTTTTGGGTCAGACATGTGAGGCACTTGTCTTTACATCCAGACGACAGATCCGAGAGAAAATTCTAGCCCTCGTAATACCGAAGCCAAATATCTTCGCATCAGCACTCCATAAATAAGTGAAGAACAAGGGAAAGTTAAGTTACTGAATAGTGACAGAACCGTTGGTAGCTGTTGGAGAAAATGTTTAATGAATATAAAGCACGGGGGAATCCATCAATTAAATAACGAAATTTTCCTGATGTGGCAACATTTTGATTTAATTTAAGCCTTAGTTTAAATTACAGAACATTCTATGATAACATTTTATATTCCCTGTGCCGTAATTCCTACCGCACCTTAGGAATGCGAACGCAGGTATATAAAAAAAGGCCGGCTTACCACGGCGGACCCACTCTCCATTGTGAATGTTTATTACAGTTCCAACGAGATCTGAGAAACGGTTCCGCTGCTTCCATATGTAGGACATGGCTTGTGCTGCCTTCTCCTCGTAGATGGGATTCCCGGTCAGTCGACTAAGAGTGGCGAATTCCAAAATCATGGTTCCCGCACACGCGGTACAGGTGTCTGTCTGAAAATAAACAGAACTACTGATATTTTTGAAAGTAGGTGTGGCTTTTGAAAATAAACAGGAAAAGGCTGATAACCAGCACTCACGGTTTACTCGCACTGGCCCGACAGAATTCGAATGAACGAAAGAGGTTTCAGTTTTGGCTTATCCAATAACGGAATATAACAGAAAAAGTTAAACGTTATGTTGTTTTAACGCGTCCCATGGAACGCAAACTTGGATATTTGGAGACGAACAATCCTAAAAAGGCTGTAGACCCTTTTCTCAGATTACGATCAAGTAATCGCTGAGGTAGAATGAGAAAATTAAAAGGAAACCGAGAATTGAACAAGTTTTAACTAATAAAAAAAGCGAGATACTTTGTTCATTCCTATTGGGCTAAGTTGCAAGGGTACGAGCCATTTTGGATAGCTGGAATTCGCCCGAGATATGTGAACAAAAGAGAAACCTGTGTAGGTTAAGGCAAAACGGGTGAGAAAAACAAGAGCGTTCTGCAGAATTTTAAGAGCGCTTAGAACTTTATGAGCAAAACATGCCGTTGCTTTCTATCAAAAAATCAAGGTAAGGTGAACTGCTTTGCATATCCCGGCTTTAGAATCATGAGAGGGGGAGCCTATCCTGTATGAAACTGAGACACCCAATTATAAAATGTTTTCAAAATTAACGCAAAGCACCTTCGCACGAAAAGTTGTTTGGACTTCAAACGGGGGATCTCTCTAATCCGCTG